TTGGCAAGTAATAAGAAAAAAAGTCAATGTGTTGGGCGACCCCGCAGATGCATACACTCCTGTATACGTCTAGGCATCGACAAAATCAGATGATCGATGTCTGGTTGTAGCACCTCATTAATTACTTGCTAATAAAATTTTGTGAAAATCGTATCGTTTCATTCTTGATGTAATTCTACCTCATAGCCCAAAAATCAAGCTGAAGAATTTTTTTTTGTGTAACACTTCTAATGTCACTGGGTATACCTTCAAAATAAGATATTAAAAGGCCAATTTGTCGTAACATTTAATTTATTTCATATCAAACTATAATATCAGTAATGTTCTTCTGCCTTAGCACATATACACGAATTTCTTCTTGGTAACAAGTGAATTATGAAAAAATTGCAAAATTGTGGTGGCAACATATTTTTAGGCAAAAAAGATTTTTTGAGAATATGCGTAAACGAGATCATTCTTACTACACTTGTGTGTTTTACATAATGAATAGCTTATATAGCTTACGATGCCTGTACTATTGCATATCTTCTAAACGCACGCCTATTGTTTCGAGCTTTCTTAATTAAAACGCAAAGTTTGTTATTTGTTAGTATTATTGGGTTTCCAAACATTGATGGAATAAAGGAAAGCGAATGACATGAGCCATATGGAGACCACGCTAATCCAAGCATATGGCCCATATTTTATGCGGAAATAATACATAAGCACGTAAACAAAATATCGAAAGGACCTATTATGACTAACATTTTCTTTTTTTATATTCTAACTACCACGAAGGCCTAAGGCCTACCCATTGGGTACCGTGGGGCTATAGGGGCATACAGGGTTAAGGGGGAACACGGACTCTGGCGAGGAAACACGTGTGCATGCAACATGCACACATTCTGGCTCCGCCTACGAGATCCGCCGGGTGGTACCTCCACGTTCGACAGTCAGAGACCATCTACCACCTACGGACAATCACAACATCCATAGCCAAGAGAAAAATTTCTCCTGGAACGGGACTCGAACCCGCACAGCGCACGGCGACTGATCAGGAGACCAAAGAGTCTACTACTGCGGCCACCGCTGCTGCCTCAAAAAAAACATTTATGAGCATTAACATCATCTACATGTATTTTTTTAGAATTCCTTAAAAACTTCATCAAAACAAAGCGATTGTTCGGATAAAGCGTTATCGGAGGCTTGTACCGAATGAGTAGGTTTTTTACACCGAAGCAGCCGCGCAGGCGGACGCCTAAATGCCATGATACCGCGGCTTCTATGAGGATCCCAAAGAACTTTGTTAATCCGATTTTTAAACTGCTTGAGGTTACTAGAGCTGGAAAAATCCTCCTTTTGTTGATTGTTCGGCAACCTCAAGATTCCTAGGGACAACGGAGCGGTCGCATCGGTCAGCTCTGGGTGTATGAAGCTCGACACGGTTATGACGGGAGGTCGAAGTCAGGCGCGTCTGTCTTGCAGCACATTGCACGGCGGCGTCATGGAGGCGACCTGTGAGGAGCAAACCTCATTGATGTAGCGGTAGAAGAAAGCTAGATCGAAGACGGCCCGCCGCTGCGAAAAGGTCCGAAGACAGTCTGTTAGAGAAGAGTCATCAATCAGTCGAACAGCCTTATCTGGGCGTTGTATAGAGTGTGGAGGTCATGTGAAGAAAAGTACTTCTTAGCCCTAAGCAAATAGCCTAGCTTTTTCCCAGCAGCCGCCGCTAAGGACGAGATAAGTTCGTGCCAGATCAAGACCTCGGTGATCTGGACTCCGACCAGCCGAAATGAGTGGCTCTTTGACAGAACTCGCCCATCCATCGAGACCGGATGAACGCTAGGACGCTTTTTGTTTATCAAGGTACAGTACTGTGTTTTGGAAGCAAACAAGATTGTTGCATCCCTAAGCAGTGACAACTTCCAGGTCTCTCGTCAGTGAGGAAGTCGCCGCTAGCTTTTTCCAGCTCACTGACAGAGATCGGCTTGTCGCTCTGAATTGCTGTATGTAGAGTGCTGTCAACATCAAAGCTGTGGATTGGATTGATCGTACAGGAAAGTAGTGTGATGATAAGTGTCCAAGACCCAACCCTAGGGAACACACGTGTTGACATTTTAGGATGAAGAGGAGAACCCATCAATTACGATGGATGTCTTGCGGCCAGAGAGAAAGTCGGCCAACCATCTGCTCCAAAATCGACTTTAAATGGACTTTGTTGCTCATTTATCATAAACCCCGCTCCCAAATACCTATTTTCCGCTCCTCTTTATATTTGTCTACTAACATTTGCTCTTTTGCTTTTTGTTTTGTCTCTCGTAGTGCTAAAATGTCTATTTTATATCTTCTCATAATTTGAACCAAATTTTTCAAAGCTCCTTTTTCATGTGTGTCTCTGACAATCGACGTCCAAATTCTAATCAAGCTTGACCTAAATTTGTTCTTTGGTTTTTCCATAGTCGTGTTTGTAATTCTTCATGCTTTTCATCACCGGGTCCTTGTGTATACAGGGTGTTCCTTAATGATATGCCAATATTTAAGGGTGTGAATCTACATGAAAAATTAATGTTAGTTTGCTTTATAAACTATGATCCAAAAATGTTTCCATACAAAAACTCGGGTTGTTGAAGTTTTAGGGGAATTCAAAAATAATTTTATTTGGTAAAAATTCATTGGCGTACCATTTTTTCCTTAAAAAATATCGAAGTCGATACCCGTACGCACGCCAATGTTTTTTTTTTAGGATCAGGCCGTGCAGCCAGAAACTAGGTTGGTATATGGTATACATCTAATTATGGACAAACACAAGACGTCACAACATCCATGGCGAAGGCGAGATTCGAACTCGCGGCCCGACCGGCCGGCTGATCAGTAGCACGACACTCTGACCCACGCGGCCAACCGAGGTCCCCACGCCACTGTTAAAGCTAAAAATTATTTTTGCTTTGAAAAATACGCAACTTTATTGACTTTCACTACGTACTAAATATAAGTTAAATATTTGAAGCGGTTCTGAAAATATTAATTAATTTCCATTTTTTCCTAAAACTTCAAGTTTTTGTAAAGAAACATTTTTGGTCCATAGTTTATAAAGCAAACTAACATTAATTTTTCATGTAGATTCACACCCTTAAATATTCACATATCATTGAGGAACACAATGTATAACTGTCATCAATACATGCTGCAGACTCTAAAAGTTTTTTGGAGCTGTATTCCTATTTCAGTAACAAAGCATGGAGGAAAAAATGGGCTTGAGTGGTTTTTGAAATGACTGATTGAATTATTCCGTAGGTATGCAATTATAAAAAACAGTGGTGCTCCCAGGATTTCAGTCTGGGAGGGGTAAAATGGAAAGTAAATTCTCAGTGTGACGTACTCAAGTGTATAATGATTTAACATTAAAAGCATGGACATATGTCAATCAATATCAATATCAATCAATCAATAACCATTATTTCCATACAGTCAATGTATAATTGTATTGGAATTGTCAATTTTTCGTTCGCTACAAACCTACAACTAATCTCAAATTGCAATGTTCAAAAATTGATCAACACGATAAAAGCACTTGTTTATCAAAAATTGCGTCAACTGGAACTTGAAGTCGTTAATATTTTTATCCGAGGTAATGTGACATGGTAAATTATTATTAAAAAGAAGCGGACCCATTTTATTAGGTGATCGAAATGCCGCTTTTGATTTGCTGAAGTTTACATATAAATTATTACATAATTATGCATATCACAATTCCGCTTGAGTTTTTCATTATTTTTAAAAACATGTAAGCACAATTCATATATATATATATACAACAAAGGGACAGTTAAAATGTTGAAACTTATAAAATATTTTTTGCAACTTTCTGTTGGTGAGATGCCTGCTAATGATCGGATGCATCTTTTTTGAGACACAAATACATCTTCAGAGCGCGTTGACCAACCCCAGAAACATACTGCATATCAGCTGTTAATTCGCAGTGGGCCTTCCAATTTAAGTTCGAATCAAAATGAATTCCAAGAAATTTCACTTCTCCTCTAAAATCGAGTTCATCGTCACCCAATCTAACTTGAAACCCTTCTACAGTTTTTTGAGCATGATGAAAACGAATAAGCGTTGTTTTAGAAGGATTCAAGTAAAGTGAGTACTGGTTAAAGCATGTATTGATATTCCTAAGTAAGTTGTTACATTTATCTTCCAAAATTATATTTGAATTACTTGATATTATGGCAGAAACGTCATCAACATATGCTGTAAAATGGGTATCTGGATGAACATTATCAAACTGATTAATGTATAAGAGGAAAAAGATTGGTCCAAGAATAGAGCCCTGAGGGACTCCAATCGAGATGTCTAACGTACTTGAGACAAAGTTTTTCATATTGTTCCCTGCATCAAGATATTTTACTGAAGCATATTTCTTTGGACTAAAAACGATCTGGCCCATTTAAGAGACTGGCCGACAAAACCATATTTAACAACAATCTCCAAGAATTTGTTGTGATCAACGCAGTCGAATGCCCTACAGTGATCACAAAATACCCCAGTAGGGCACTCGCCCGTGTCGATGTATTCTATAAGCTTCTCATGCAGACATGAATTTGTTACAATAATTTCTGTAGAAAATACATACAAGTTTTTTTTAATTATGAATCATACGAATACAAAGTGTAAATAAAGCAAACCAAGGCTCGAGAAATCTTCATATAATAAAACAAAAATGCAAAATAATATAATCTGTCGCAGACTTTTCTACATAACAATGTCAGACAAAACAACAAAAAATACATCGTCATGAAAAATGTAACAATAGCAAATATGTTACGACTTCAGATCAACAAAACTCCGCTTGTTCAATTCTCAGCAAAATTTTGTTGCGTACTCCGGACTGATACAGAATTTAGACACTAGACTAGACCATAAAATACTAGAATGTACCTCTTCCAACAGGAAGAAGCGCACACCGTTGCTGTTGGTGGGAGAGTACTCGTAGTCGCTAGTCGCATGCGCACTGAGCGGGTTGTCGATGTTGCCGCTATCCATTGAAAAGTTACATTTTATTTTATAAGACGTTTACCGTGTACCACCTTTTCAAAGACTGCTCGAGTCGTCTGGGGGTAATTACCCCCTATACCCCCTCCCCCCACGTGGGAGCGCCAGTGATAAAAAATGGAAATCATCAAATTAATTATTTTAATTTCGCTGCCGGCATCAAATTTGAGCCTGCTATCTTCGACTCGGATGTCAAGAAATCCTTCAAATTCAAATCCACGATATACTACCCTATCCCTAACCATTCCACGGTGTCCCCCATCGAATCCTGCGGGACTTCCAGGCCGGGTGAATCCATAAAACAAACGCTATCGCATGGGCGACTGGTCGCGCGCCGGCGTCTGTATAAAGCCGGTCGCGCCGGGCAGCAACGTCAGTTGTCGTCAGCTGTTTGCTCGAGTTACGCTGTTTTCATTCGTTTCCACGGCCAACGCGACCGTCTCGCCGGGTGTCTACTGCCGTTTTCGATTTCCGATCGTCTTCATTTGTCAACGTAAACTGGAAAACATGGCCACCTACGCCGCTTACAGACACATCGAATTGGACAAAGTCGGCTACAGCAAAAAGAGGTGAGTGACTGATCTAGGTTACGATGGAAATAACGATCTGGGATGTCGGGGTGTTAACCCTATCGTACCTTGCCAGGGAGAAATTAGGTGAAGGACTTTGGCCCAGGATGTGCTAGCTCCGGTGGGATGTTTAGTCACCTTGTAGCTTGAAAAGATCAAAAAAAATGTCCACCTTACATCAAATTTGTTTCATTGTAATAGTTGTTAGTCATATGAAATGAAAATCCATAGAAATTATTATAATAACCGTTTTTCATATGTTCAAAACAACATCAACTGTGAAACGTAAAGCAAATGTAAACGACGACTTCTAATAGCTTCTTTGTGTTTATCTATCATCCCATAGATAACAAAAAGCAAAATTTGAAAAGTTGTATTTAAAAACCAAGTGAATTTTTTATTTATTTAATTGTACTAGATTTTGTCATGCATTAATAGCATACGACGAAAATTCTTTACAATAATAATAATATCTTATGTGTCATATTCATTAACTTTCATTCTTCATACTTATACTTCAAAGAACAGTACTGCTTCATTTCTCAAACTGATTTATAACATAACCATTCTTTCCGTTTTAGGATAGTGTCGAATTCATCTTTTATATTTTAATAGATATAATTATAATAACTGGAAAAGCTACACTTTGGACACTGTTTCACAAATTATGAAGCATTTTTGAAAACGCATCCTACTTGCTCCTGCTTCTTGAATGAAAATAGTAATACCAACATGAAAATGTTATCCTCTTTCTCTAGTAAATTTTCATCTATAGAGGTCATTAGCATTATAATTAAATTTAAATAGTCTTAAATGCAAATTCACAAAACAATGTGTGCATTATTGTGGAAAAAACTTGCAGTTACATAAGCCTAACAATACAGTAAATACACTTATTATGTGTGTGGCAAATGTTTATAATAGCAGAAATGGGAAATAATTTATTAATTTTTAGTTATGACACAGGATGGAAGCCACCTGCATACTTGATAAGAAAAACTTGAGCAACATTTACAAAATTTGTAAATATTCATAATATTATATACTCCTTTATAACTTTTGTATATAAGAGAATTATTATTGCTTTGATTTTATCAGATACTTAATACCGATTTACAGAAACCAAGACAACCTCACCTTGAATTTGTATTTCCCTATTATTATTAATTAATAATTGCAAAAATGTATCAATGCTGCAATTAACAATAATAGTTTATTTCATTCAATCATATTTTACAGAGTATTTGAAGTATTTTTTAAAAATTAAAAACGCTTGCTCTTCATTTTTGCTCAGTTGATCAAAAAAAATCTTAGTAAATGAGCATGACAAGCACATTGATACGAAAATGCTGGTTACATTTATTTGCTTGTAGTTAGGACTATCACTTATAGAAGAAAGAAAACGTACAGGTTACGTGCCTAGAGTTCATCGACTGCTCCATAATAGTAAAATCTATTGATCCGAGGAGTATCAATATTTATTCAACTTTGTTATCAGAGGGATATCCGTCGATTTTCCTGAAATATACATATATATAAATATAGGCGATCTTTAATAGAAACAGCATGAGTGTTTAGGAATAACGAAAAGTAGTAATGTAGTAGTAGACTATTGTTTTTTTGTTTTTTTTTTCTAAGCTGGTTATCTCCTTTGACTTGTATGAATAGGTTTGAAACGATGGCAATGAAAACAATTTGTAAATGGTATCACCTTAATTTCTAACAATGTTCTATAATCTATAGCTAGCTTTAAGCTTATTTGTATATTGTAACTTGACTGTTACTTTTGGAACAAATAAAATCTATCTATCTATCTATCCTTAACTTAATTAAAACCATTGCTAGTAATAACTACTTCGAGAGAAGAAAAAAAAAAGAATGGTTATTTACATTGCAATTTCTTCCGCAGCTTTACATATACATGTTACATATTTGTATGTACTTTTTTTCTCGCGGTTTCTATCGCTTATTATTATATTTTTTTCGTCATGTGGCTGCTATCGAAAATGTTGAACGAATGTGGTTTAAAGGAGATATGAGCACGAAGTTTATTTATTTATTCATATTTTCTATAGGGGCAAACCAATTACAGGAAATGCTTAAAGGAACATAAAAAGTATAGATACATCTAATCTTAAAGTAATGCATTATAGGTCAAGCCATTTTCACTAATCTAAGTGTTATATATGAAGGATCATTAGTTTCTCTAGCAAGCTGTCATGACAATGATTCATCATCATTACTAAAATAATATCAGAAATATTGTAGTGCAATTAATATAATAGTAAATAAAGAATGCATGGAATAGGCGCATTTATTATGACGAGGCTAAAACAGCGAAATGAAACTTAAGATTTTCCGTGTATCCAATGTCATAAATATCTTAGCTTTTGTAATTATACCTGTTCGCTTCACATGAAAACTAATGCTGTATAAGTATAGTCTTGTCGCTTGGCAACTAATGGAAATGTATACTTGATACTTGTACAGGATTGATCAGGGATTACTAGGGAAATTGCGATGGCAAGAATAATATATTTTCCAGTATTTTTTCTGAATATGTGCTTTGAAATCGTGAATGTTATCATGTGATTACCATTAAAATGTTGATACTTAAGCTGATCACATATCAAAAATGATGTTTATCCACCGTTTGACTATCCTTGTTGGATAATACGAATACAAGATTTTTACCTAAAATATTGAAACCTATTTTTCGTCAAAAATAAAGTTAGTATCGCATGTACAACATTTTAAGTCAGTACCTTTATCCCCTTGGATAACTTTAACACCCTGTATCCTGAGAAAGAGACATTTTAGGACCCAATAACATTCCGTGTTGTTTTTGAATTCACCTTCCGTCCTATAACTGTTATCACTACTTTTTCAAAACATATTTAAGGTTCTTCGTACACTTTTCTATCCTATATATTCATCAAGTGATGTTAAGCTAGCTGTAAATCAACCGTCTTTAATTGGTATTGGTATTCGACTTATGTGCAGATTTTCAAACTAATGTCAGAAGTTTTCCATGCTCCATTTAGATCACTGTAAGAATGTTAACAATACCCCGTAAAATAAATACAAACACGATTGGAAATTACATTTGTAGTTTATTATAGAACGTACATTTTTTTATACTCCAACTACCCCATGGGGTACCGTGGGGCTATAGGGGGATACAGAGTGAAAAAGTAACAATATTGTTTTGTGTATTAGCAAAAATGAAATACATACTAAGATTGATTAATGTATAAATACTACTTTTTGTATATGAAGATAAAACATCAATTGGCAATGTAAATTACCGTATCAGCTAAACAATACTTTCACTAATAATTTCATAGCTTATCAAATCTTCTAGTGATTCCTAATATTGACAATCGATACGTTGTACTTATTGCCTGTTGGTTGCTAAAATGCGATGTTCTTACTGTATCTCCACCCCCAAAAGGCTCATGTAGGTATAAATAGTTCATTGGTAGTATTAAAAAGGTAGGTCAAAGACTGACATTTGTTGACATTTCACCACGAAGGCAGGAAGCGACAGAATAGAAATTAGCCTATAAAAAGAAAAGCTTAAAATAGATCCGCAGACGGATTGCATATGTATTTATATACTTAGACTACCCAGTATATATAACATGAGTACTACCAAGAACTAGTGTGACAGTATATATAAATAATTGAAGCTGTCTCGAACGTGGTGCTACCAACATAATACAGTGCTCTTCAGAAAGATCTCTCCTTAATTTATTGTCAAGTTAACAAGCTATAATCCGAGATGATGCAATCGACGCATAAATACCATATCTTAACGTAAAAATAACATTTGATCGTTTCAAGATGTAGCCTCATTCCTTTGGATCTTTGGAATAAAAATGTTGGTCCATAGTTTTTGATATCTGATTATATTAGCTTTTATATACCATATATACTATATAATATTGCCTCGAGTAACCTCATTGCCTCTATTTACTTCAAGCATAATGCTCGTATCTATAAATATCGCGCCCACCTCATACGTCCATATCACGTTGCGTGCCATCTGCTACTTGCTTTTATAAGTCCCATGGATCCACTACCAAAGATGCAATATTTATAACCCCGTGGCGCACGGAAAGTGCGACCGATAGGTACGCGATTAGTCAGCTGAAAATATGGGGTGTGCTCAAAGTAGGGGCTTTCCTTTACACGTGTAAATTTTGGAATAATAAGCCGTTTTTTTAGTAACATATCCATCAAAGTTTTAAAATTATTGAGATGTTAAGCTCCGCAAACCTAAACAAAACCTGATTCCATCCTGCACCTCGATCGGATCAAACGTGAACACGTAGGATACGCATCAGTACTCAATTCAGGCGCTGGCCGCCTTGGTAAACAAAACATTTACACATCGGTTCTAAAAAAATAAAACAAAAATGTCACACTCATACAGCAATATCGGAGTTGTCCATATGATTTTAATTCACGGTGAGTGTCCTCAAAATACTACCAAGGCTTCGCGAGAGCTTGTAGATCATTTTTCAAGATTCTTCGTGATTTTTTTGTTTTCGGCGAAATGAAATGTTTAGTGTATACAACTGAAGGGAAATTATTCCATTCTAGAGGAAAAACTATCAAGGTTTTTCGTCCTTGGCATTGTAGTTACCTTGTGCAAAAATTTCATCCAAATTTCAGCAGTACTTTCAAAGTTAAAGACAGGCCAAAGATTAGCAGACAAACAGACCTACCTACAGACTACGGAAATGAGTGATATGGTTTTTCGTGATGTGCACGTCATCCAAAAAGCAATTTAATTAATAAAAAACATTCATTTTCGCGATTACAATACTTCCTCACCAGTACGATTATTTATTGTCGCAGAGACGGAACGCAAAGAGATCGTATTGAACCTGCCTTTCTTGGAGTATTCCCAAGGAGTGGTGTACCGAATAATCAATATTGCCTTTTCAGTATCAGTTAAACTATCGTGATTGTAGGATATTAGCAAAACATCGTTTTGCCCCCGGGGTCTTTACATGGCCACCTCTCAAGAAATGATTTATTAGATAATGTGTTCAAAATGTTCCTGTCAGTCAAATTAATCTTGATATAAATGAGGAAAACCGTCCGAGGAGATAAAATATCGCGATAATATTCAGTGAAAGTATATTTTTCTACTAGTCACGTTTTTTTTGCACCGAGAAAAAATAGTAATCAAATTCGTAACATAAAAGCGGTTGTTGTGAAATTTTATTATTTATTAATAGCATGTGCATTCGATAAAAAAATGTTATAACAACAACCGTATCATTGCATTGCCCACATTAATTTTTGTTTGGATGCATTATAGATTGCAGGTGTTTGTTTCGTAAGGAATGCTATAAAAAACTAATGATTTTTTGAGCTTAAGTTTTTGTCAAGAAATAATAATGAGTTTCACTTTTCTTGTGTGCATTTTAGATGATATGGTGTAAATTAGACCATAACATATGACAAAATTAAAACAGCGAGATTTGTAGAAAATGCGATATTAGACTTAGTTCAGATGATCACGCGCACAATTTTTATATAAACTGGAACCATGATACTATTAATGGAGAAGATAAACCCACTCCCATACCGTAACTCTATTTCTTTCGCATAAGTGGTGCAACTCAGTGACCAAATTCCCTAGGGACTGTTGGCAAACCTTCAGTTTTATATGACACTTTAGCACGTCATTTTTGATTAACTTCGTTATTTTGTTATCTGGTGTGTTTCAAATAAGTCGCTGTGTGAAATATAATTGAAAAGCAGTTAATTT